CAGTGGAATTCCTGATGAAAGTCAATGCTATCCAGGTCAGCTCAACAGGGAGTGGAGGAGTGGGAAGGGAGGTTGGTTTATTCCCAAAAAGCTGGTGGCATCTTCAGTCAGCCTTGTTTCCCGGGCTCAGGGAATCAGCTGTGGCCACTCCAGATGCTGATCACAAGAGGGAGCAACGCCACCACTGCCCAGAGATGCAAAACTGTGGCTAGGGAGAGCATTCAGCCCAAAATGCTGGTTGTAGACACAGCCATCTCGGGCAGGTGAGGCCCTCAGGGGGCCTCAGCCCAGCACTGCCTGCTGCAGAGGGAATAGCCAGCTCAGAAATGGTGCAGTGTGCTCCTCTCTGTACATTCAGAGGCAGGAGCCATTATTGTGATGTTTCCAAGATGCCAGAACCCCTATGATTCAGACCCTTGTGTGTGTCAGAGTAATTTTTGTTCACCTATGGAATGTCCCTGTCCCACACAGTTATCTCTGGGGTCTCTCTGATTGTCATGTTGTGCTGCCTGCCTAAATTCTACATGGCAGAATGAGTTGGTTAAAGCAAAACAGAAGTAATCATGGAATGGTTTGGGTTGGAAGGGACATTCAGGTTCATCTCATTCCAATCCCCTGCTGTGGGCAGGGACACCTTCCATTAAACCAGGGACACCTTTCATTAGACCAACATTCAAAAGAGGGGGAAAAAAAAAATCTCCCATGTGTTTTGTGTTCATGGAAGTCAAACAGGTTGTCTGTCAGCCCCCTGCCCTGTCCTTCTGGTGTGCCTGTGGTTTCCCTGCTCCCCTAACCACCACCTGTGCCCTTCCTCCCCAGTTTGTTCACAAGGCACTGGCCCACGAGCTGCTGAGCCCCCAGGGAGGCCCCAGCTGTGGGTATTACCTGGCACTGGCCCGGACATACCTGCTGCAGGAAGATCTCCCCAGATGTGAGCAGTGTCTGCAGGAGGCCGTTCGGATTGACTGCACGGTAATGCCACGTTGTGTCCCTGGGGGGCTGCAGCAGGACTCCACCCAAACACTGCAGCCACTTGTGCTGGTGTGTGTGTGAACCCAGAGCTTCGTTTCCACTTTACAATTCAATGTTAGTCCACAACAGTTTCAGCAGGGAGGGCAGTCACACCAGGCTGTGGCTGCAGCCCTGCCCTCCCTGTTATCCTATTCATTCCTGGCCTCCTGTCACCTCCTGCACAGACAGGCAGCATCTCTGAGCCTGTCTCTGCCTTTCCCTCTGCAGTGTCTGCCTTTCTTTTCCCTTTGGGTGGGTATATCCTGATCTCATTTCTCTTGGTGCATGAGCCAGGCTCTATTTTGTGAGAAACAAGGTTGCTATTCAGCAGAGAGGGAAGGTGGCTCTGGGGAGGCAGGTTTAACAGAAGGAGGGAGGAAGGTGACACCTCGGAATGCTCTGTGGCTGCTGACTGTACCTGGGAGCCTTGTGCAGGCCAGGACACTGGGCAGGGAGTTGGAGGGGGGATCCTATGGTTGGTGTCCTGTAGGCAGCCCACCAACTTCAACTCTGTGTGTAAAACCTGCCCTGCTATCATAGAATCATGGAATTGTTTAGGTTGGAAAAGCCCTCTAAGATCGTTGAGACCAACCATTCCCCCAGCACTGCCACGTTCACAACTAGACCATGTCCCCAAGTGGCACATCCACATGGCTTTTAAATCCCTCCAGGGATGGGGACTCCATCTCTGCCCTGGGCAGCTGTGCCAGGGCTGGACAGCCCTTTCGGTGAAGAAATGTCCCCAATATCCAATGTGGTGCAATTTGAGACCAATTCTTCTTGTCCTGTCCCTTGTTCCCTGGGAGCAGAACCCGACCCCTTCCCCCCTGCCCGGCTCCCCCCTCCTGTCAGGGAGTTGCAGAGCCAGAAGGTCCCCCCTGAGCCTCCTTTTCTCCAGGCTGAGCCCCCCCAGCTCCCTCAGCTGCTCCTGCTGCTCCAGACCCTTCCCCAGCTCCGTTCCCTTCCCTGGACACGCTCCAGCCCCTCAATATCTGTCTTATTGTGAGGGGCCCAAAACTTCCCCCAGGGCTGGAGGTGCCTCGGCAGTGCCAGCACAGGGGGAATTCACTGCTCTGCTCCTGCTGGTACAGCCCAGGGGCCATTGGCCTTCTTGCCCACCTGGGCACCCCTGGGCTCATGTTCAGCTGCTGCCAACTGGCACCTCTAGGTTCTTTCCCTCTCTCCCCTGGAGAGCCTGGAGTGCTGCAGGGGGTTGTTGTGATAATATAATTAAACACTGCTCAGCTCCTCCTTTCTGCTGCTTACAGGTGTCCCAGCCCTCCTCCCAGGTGTTTCTCTTTCCTGTCTCCCATCCCTGTCTCACTCCTGGTTTTGTGTGCACAGAACCCAAATGTCTGGGCTCAGAAAGGACACCTGTGGTACCTGAAGGGGGACTGTGGCCAGGCAAAGGAGTGCTATGAGCGAGTGGTCAGTTTTGTGGAGGATGCTGTGGACATGCACTTTGTCTACCTGCGCCTGGGCTCCATTTACCTGGAAGAGAAAGAGGTGAGGAGCCAGCAGGAGTGGTGGAGGGGAAGTTACCACAAAGCAAGTTGCTCCCCCAGCAGCTGTGGGGAGAGTGTGTGTCTGAGTCCCACTGGAGATGGGGTGTTTGGCAAATCCCTGAGGAGGGGGGCTGCCTGTGGAGTGATGTGCTGATGCAGAAGCATGGCTCTCTCTCCCCTGGCAGTATGGCCGGGCCAAGCAGATCTACCTGCTCGCCTGTGACAACTCTGCATCCTGTCTCACGTGGTTGGGGGTGGGGATCGCCTGCTACAGGGTAAGTGCCACTGCCTTCATGTCATCTGTGCTTTAATCAGTGCCATGGCATGGGACACAGGGCTGGCTTTTGCGTGATCCCCTGGATTTAAGTAAAGCTTGGCTGCCTGTGACCCGTGGCTCCACAGGCCATCATGTCCTGTGCACTGTCACAGTCCTACTGTGGCACCCGGGCTGCTCAGATGGGCTGTGTCACTGCTCAGCACCTGCTCTGGGAGCAGCCAGCCTTCCCCCTCATCCCAGCTCCAGCCAGAACCTCCTTCCCCAGGGTGGCATGGCAAGCAGTCTGGGCTCTGCACCCAGTGCCTGCCTGCACATGACCTGCATGTCACCACCAAGGAACTGAGTGGGATGTCAGTAGGGAGGAATCTCAGTGCTTTCCCAAGGGAATCCAGCACATCTGAGGGGCTGCCAAGGACACCCAGCCACCAGCAGTGTGGTATCTCCCCAAGGAACACCTCACCAGGTTCCTCCAAGGGAGTTTGGCCAAGGGAAGCAACCAGGGAAGGAACTTGAATTTCTGTTTCCCCCTTGGCCAAATGTGCAATTCCTGAGGGGCTGTGGAATCGGGCCAGGGAAGTGCAGCCCACCAGGCACCAGCTACCCCTGCCTGCCTGGACCTGCTGCACAGCAGGAATAGGGAGCAGGAGCACAGCCATGTTTCCTCGTGGAGCTGGATCACTCAGTTCCTGCAGGTGAAGGTGTTTATGCTGCTTTCCTTTTAGCTGGAGGCTGATTTGAAAATAGTAGGTGATCCCATGGGGGTCAGCAGTGGGAAGTTTGTTCTCCAGACTGGAGAGCTGGATGCTGGCACTGAGGATGACTGCTTGTCTCTGTCCTAAATCCTTTCCCTGCTTCCCTATCAGGGGAACCCTGCTAGGAGCTTTTGATGCACTGATTTCTTCTGCTGTTAGAGCAAGGGCTGTTCACTTATGAAGCCCATTCTGCCTTTTGTCCATGCCTCTCCTTGTCTCCCTCAAGCTGGGAGAGCTGGTGGAAGCAGAAGATGCTCTCTCTGAAGCCAATGCCCTAAATAACACCAACGCTGAAGTGTGGGGATATCTTGCCCTCATCTGTCTGCGAGTGAGTGCCCAGCCCCGGCCAGCCCGATGGGCAGGGGGGTTTTCAGGGGTTTATTGGGGGGTTTATTGGCATCTGCTCACAAACCCAAAGATTATGGTGGTAAAAAGTCTGGGGGAAGTGCTTGGGGAAAGCAAAGTGTTCAGATGGCAAAGGCAGAGCCTTTCCTTGCTTCTTGTCATGCCCTGGGGCATGTCCTCCCTGCTGAGCTTCTTAAAAATGTCCCTTCTTTGAGATCTTGTGCCTTTCCTGGGGAAGGGGCACTTCGAGGCACCTCCAGTCCCGGGGGCAGTTCTGGGCCCCTCACGACTGGAGGGTGAAGCCTGGGGAGGTCGGGCTCTGCTCCCGGTGAAGAAGGGGCAGGACCAGAGGAAATGGCCTCAAATTGTGTGGAGGTTTAGACTGGATATTGGGGAAATTTCTTCCCTGAAAGGGTGGTCAGGCCCTGGCACAGCTGCCCAGGGCTGTGGTGGGGTCACCATCCCTGCAGGGATTTAAAAGCCGTGTGGATGTGGCCCTTGGGGACACGGGTTAGCGGTGGCCTTGGCAGTGCTGGGGGAATGGTTGGATTTGATGGTCTTAAAGATCTTTTCCTGCCTAAACGATTCTACGCTTTCCTCCCTGGCGGCTCTGTCGCTGTCGCAGGGCGGGCGGGAGCTGGAGGCAGAGCAGTGCTACAAATACACCGTCAAGGTTCGTGTCTGTACCCCCGCAGGGGCCGCCCGCCCTGTTCCCTCCACAGCTGGAGGCCCGGCTGTAGCACGGGAAGCTCCGTCTCCCGTCGGTGTCCCAGCCGGGCTGAGGCACCGCACAGCCGTGCGTGCCGGGGGTCCCGGCGGTCGGTGGAGCCCGGCCCTGACCGCCCTCCCCTTCCCCGCAGCTGGGCCTGCGGAACGACGCGCTGCTGCGGGAGATCCGCGCCGCCCAGCGCCGCTTCGGCTTCGGCGACCCGGCGTTCTGAGCCGGCGGGCACATAAAGGCCCCGCGCACCGAGCGCCCGTCCCGCCTCTGTCGCGATCGTGTCGCGACCCCGGGGAGGGGCGGGAGGGGGCGGGGCTGGGGGGCGGGTCCCGGGTCACGTGACGGGCCGTGACGCGCCGCCGATTGGCTGCGGCCGCGCGGGACGGTTGAGCCGGCGGCGCGCGCCATGGCGGCGGGTTTGGGGGGGGGGGAGGGGGCGGGGCTGGGGGGCGGGTCCCGGGTCACGTGACGGGCCGTGACGCGCCGCCGATTGGCTGCGGCCGCGCGGGACGGTTGAGCCGGCGGCGCGCGCCATGGCGGCGGGTTTGGGGGGGGGGGAGGGGGGGCCAGGGGGGGAACGGGGTGTCACCGGGGATGGGGGGGAGATGGGGGTAAGAAGGCGTCACGGGGGACAGGGGGGCACGGGGGCACCGGCGGCGTCATCGGCCATGGGGGAACATGAGGGGACCGGAGGCGTCACTGGGGATGGGGGTGCGCAGGATGCACCAGAGGGGTGGGGGGTCTCCGGGGGATTTGGAGCACGGAAGTAACAGGGGTGTCACCGGAGGGGGAGGAAGGCTCTGGGGACAGTGAGGGTCTGGAGCACGGGGGTACCCGGGGCGTCACTGGTGCTGGGGGGGGACTCTGGGGCTGGGGGGGCTCTCGGAGCATTGAGGTAATGGGGTCATTACTGGGGCTGGGGGAGTCAGAGCACTGTCACTGGGCACGGAGGACTCAGAGTACGGGGGTAATGGGGGTGTCACCGGGTGCAGGGGCAACGTGGGGTCTGGGGGGCTCTGGACACGGAGATACTGGAGTGTCACTGGGCCTGAGGGACTCAGGGCATGGGGGGCTCTGGACACGGAGATAGTGCGGGTGCCACTGGGGCTGGGGGGCTCAGCATGGGGAGGCTTGGGGCACGGAGATACCGGGGGTGTCACCGGCGTGGGAGTGCTTGGAGCATGGGGTTAATGGGTCCATCACCATGCTTGGGGCACAGAGATGGCACTGGGGCGTGGGGGTCACAGATGCAAAGGTGATGGAAGTGTCATTGGCACTGACTCAGGGCACGGAGGGGCATGGAGGTACCAGGGACTGAGGTGGCTCAGGACACCCTGATAATGGGGTGCCACCAGGGCAGGGAACCTTGGGACATCGGGTTCCAGGTACACGGGGTAACAGGGGGTGTCCAGATGTGGATTCTGTCCCCCCACCGATCCCGGTGCCGGTACCAGCAGCCTGGCAGCGTCCCTACCTGAACATCTTCAAGCACTTCCGTGTGGAGGAGTGGAAGCGTTCTGCCAAGGAGGGGGACGTGGCTGCCCTCACGGTAACAGGGGCACCACGGGGTGGGGGCACCAGCCAAGGGTGGGCAGCGCTGACCCTTCATCACTGCTTTCCTTGGTTTCACAAGGACACGAGGCTGAAGGGAACAATCTACCGGATCCGGGGCTCCAACCCTGCCAGCAGTTACCTGCAGCTGCCCCGGGCTGGGACACAGTCACTGGGGCTCACGGGGCGCTACCTCTACCTGCTCTTCAGGCCCCTGCCCCACAAGCACTTCCTCGTTCACTTGGATGTCACCACCGAGGTACGGGACACTGGGTGGACTCATTAAACCACCCTCATTAGCACTGTGACTGATTGAAGGACTGAGGGTGGCAGTGGTGGTCTTGGGGGATGAAGACCTTGGCTAATCTTTGTTGCTGCTGGTGGGTTTCCCCGGGCTGGAGTTGATTTCCGTCCTCACAGCATCTCTGCTGGGGACAGGGGACACTGAGGGGACGGGAGGCACAGCCACGTGCCTTGTCCTCTGCAGCACTTCCCTGCCAAAGCCACCAGGGTGACTAAAGCTCTGTGTGTTGGTGTCTCTTCCCAGGAAAACCAGGTGGTTCGCATCTCCTTCTCCAACCTCTTCAAGGAGTTCAAATGCACAGCCACCTGGCTGCAGTTCCCCTTTGTCTGTGGAGCAGCCAAGGACTCAGCGGGTGACTCTGTGTCCCGGCGTGGTGAGGAGCTGTGTGGTCGGGGCTGGGCTGGCATGTCACCACCAAAATAAATTGTTAGAAAATAAATCGAGTTCAGAAGTTGGCTTGATTCCTTTGGGGAGGGTGAAGAGAAGCTGTAGCTGCCCAATCCCTGGAAGTGTTCAAGGTCAGGTTAGACAGGGCTCGGAGGTCCAACATGGTCTAGTGGAAGGTGTCCCTGCCTATGGCAAGGGATTGGAACAAGATGGTCTTCAAAACTCCCTCCCAACCCAAACCATTCTAGGATTCTGTAAGAGTTGTGGGTCTGAGCAGGAGCTCTTCCACATGCAGAAGCTTGGAACTGTAGCTCCTGGTAGGGCTGTCAGCCATCCTTGTTCTCCCAAGCAATGGGGTGCAGTGTCAGGCCAGGCATGAGCCTACGGGGATGGTGGGGCTCCCTGTCCTTCCCCACCCCTAAGCTACGAGGCATATTTTCCCATCTCCCACTGGGCACAGGCCTGGTGGGAATCTTGCCCGGTAAATAGTTTACTGAACTGTGTGAATCTCGTGTCTCCCATCCTGCAAGGTCCAGCATCCACATCTGTAGTGTCTTTTCACACCATCCCTATTCTCACGTGCCCCTCTCCTCCCCAGGTGCCTCTGGAGCAGCCCCTGCCGACGTGCGCTGGACGTGCCTGGTGCTGGACTTGCCCTCCATCCTTTCCCTGTACCTGAACCGCCGGTACAGCCACCTCAGGGCTGTCAAGCTCTGCTCCAACCTGCTCGTGAAGAACCTCTGCACCAGCGACTTGGTGTTTGACCCAGGTGAGGAGCCAAGACCTCGCCATGGCCTCAGGTTTCTCCTGTGACTCCAGCCCAGCCTGGGGGAAAATCCTTGGGGGTTCAAAGCTGAGGTTGCAGCCCTGGCAGAGCACTGGGCTGCTGTTGCTCTCTGATATGGGCAGGAAGGGCAAAATACTTACTATGATGTTAAGTTTCCATGTGGGCGGGGACACCTTCCACTAGCCCAGGTTGCTCCAAGCCCCATCCAACCTGGTCTTGGACACTTCCAGGGATGGGACAGCCACAGCTTCTCTGGCCAACCTGTGCCAGGGCCTCACCACTCTCACAGGGAAGAATTTCTTCCCAATATCCCATCCCTCTGGCAGTGGGAAGCCATTCCCTCTTGTCTTGCCACTCTGTGACCTTGTCCGAAGTCCCTCTCCAGCTCTCCTGAAGCCCTTTTATGCACTGGAAGGCAATCTGGAATGGAATACAGTCTCTCAACCTCTGGAGGAAAGTATCCTCTCGTTTTCCAGCTGTAAAGTGAACAAAAAGAACAAAGTTAAATATCTTTCCAAGATTAGAATTTTTTTCAGGGGGAAAGAAAGAAAGAAAGGTGTCACCCCACCTTACTTCTCCAAGACCTGTGCTTTTATCTGCTGGAAGAGCCTGTGCTTTTTTTTTGTGTCAGAAATCTTTCAACCTGCTTTTTTTATCCACTTGCTCAGTGTGGCAGAGATACTTTGGTCAAACCCTTTGTTTCTGCCTTTCTTTTTTTGTGCTGGAATTCTGCCTGAACTGCCTGGCCCGATGGAAAGCATCAGTGGGAAGGAAGTTACAGAGGCTGCTTTGAGATTCCTGAAACTTGTTATATCTTGAAGAATTTCCTGTATTTACAAATACATGAAGAAAAGAAGACAAAAAAATGGGAAATGAGTCTTAACAGAAATCATGTTAAACTGCTGAATCAATGAACAGAAACGAAGTGAATCTTGGGCCTGAGGGTTTATAACTTGTATCCAAGTATTTGTGCTCTGGGCTCTTTGGAGGTTTAGAGTTTCAGGAATCCACCTGTGCAAAGGTGTGTTAGTTTGTTCCTCAGGCTTGGGATCCTTGTTTCTCGGGTGTTCTCAAAGAGGGAAGGGGTTTGTGCCCATGTCCCACAGGGAATGTGATTTCAGCCAGCTTCACAGGCCTGGAGAACTCAGTGTCTGTCTGTCCCTGTGCTGCCAGGTGTGACCTTCTCCAAGGCCCGGCACACCGACCTGGCCTGCCGTGGGACCGCTCCCATGCCAAGGGAAATGGCATTCCCTGTGCCCAAGGGAGAGAATTGGCATGACCTCTACGACTACATCAGGTATGGCTGCTCCCCGTCCCACCACAGCTCCCAGATCTTCCCACTCCCTGGGGGAAGGCAGGATGGGTAATGCCACTTGAGGAGTGACAGATCCAGGTGAACCTGGGGCCCAAGTGGGCATTTTGGTCCCCTCAGCTCCAAGATTTAGATGTTGTTAACACTTCTGTCCTTTAGTACCATCTGCCTTTGGTATCCCTGTATTTGGAGGAGGATGGGATAAAAGGGGAAATCTTATAGGAGTCTGAAGAGGTCTTTGTGCCAGGCCTGAGTTACCAAGTGATGCTCCCAGGTGCCAATACAGTTACAGTCCTAATCACACAGTGCCTTCCTCTGATGCTGCTCAGGTTCCCATCCGAGGGGCTGAAGCTGCCGTACAACTCCATCCAGAGGAGCTGTCCCAGTCCTGCAGCAGGTGGGAATGCTGGGGGCAGCAGCCAGGGCTGTGCCACCCCGGCTGGGTGCCCCGGGTTCTCTTTAGAGCCCTCCCTGCTCCTCGTGTCCCCCAGGTGACGGAGCCTCGGAGGAGCCTGTCCGCCAGCTGCCCCCGCCGGTGACGCTCACCAGGGCCGTGTGTGACCGCCTGTCCCTCATCCACCACATCACCAGTCCCAAAGCTGTGAGTGCACCATGGAGGAGGCTGCAGCTCCTTCCTTTCTGCTTGCCATGGAGTCTTCCCCCTCATCTGTGTCTTTAAGACGTAGAAGCTGCTTGTTGTCGTTGGCAGCTGATCTGGCATGGTCTGGTGACCACAGATAGTTCTGTCTTCAAATTATTAGCAGGAGGTGAGGTCTGGAGACTAAGGACTGTGATGGGTGCCCTCGGGGAGCAGAGCAGTGCATGGAGTTGGGGTTGCTGGGACTGCAGGCAGTTGTCCTCTTCCTGATTTCCCCCTTCCTGGTGGTGCTGATGTGGGAGCTGGTGTCCAGACTGGCTTACCAGTGTGGTGATGGGAGTTTGGAGAGGGACTGGGGGAAGCCACCCTCGTGCTGTGGAGAGGCAGAAAAGGAGGAGCACAACTTCTCTTTATTAGAAAGTGTCCAAAGAATGGCCATGAAGATGGTGAAGGGTCTAGAGGGGAATGGAGCCGTATGAGGAGCAGCTGAGGGCACTTGGTTTGTTCAGCCTGGAGAAGAGGAGATGGAGCACAGACCTCATCAGGGTCTGCAGCTTCCTCGCAAGGGGCAGTGGAAGGGCAGCTCTGATCTCTCCTCCCTGTGAGCAGTGACAGGACCCAAGGGAATGGCTGGAGCTGTGTCAGGGCAGGTTTAGGTTGGATGTCAGGAAAAGGTTCTTCCCCCAGAGGGTGGTTGGGCACTGAACAGGCTCCCCAGGGCAGTGGGCACAGCCCCAAGGCTGCCAGAGCTCAAGGAGTGTTTGGACAACGCTGTCAGGGACTGGGTGGGGTTGTTGGGGCATTCTGTGCAGGATGGACTTGATGCTCCTTGTGGGTCCCTTCCCACTCAGGATACTCTGTGGTTCTATGACCTGGGATGAACTGGGATGGGCTGAGCTGGCTGACTGGGTGCTTTAGACCTCCTCTGCTCAGTGGAGAGAGGGCAGCTCTTCCTGTTGAGGGCTGAGTGTTTTCTGGGGCTCTGATTTTCTATCTGGAGGAGATGAACTGTGCATGGACAACACTGAGAGCGTAGGCAGAGCAGCTGTTTAACACACCTGGCCAAGCCACGTGCACACAGGGCTGCCCTCCCTCCAGGTTGTTTCATCCTTGTTTGTATCACCATGAAGAGTCATCAGGAAAGGGAGGTCTCTCTGTCTCTGCCCCAGCATCAGGTGGAGGGCGCCAGGAGGAGGACTGAGCTCTGTCTGAGGCTTTCCTCATTCTCAGGTGCCACGCCGCTCTCCTGTAATCACAAAAAGCATCCCTGAGGTTCACCTGACAGCCCCGAGAGCTGTGCCTGCTGGGCACCTGGTGCCAGAGGAGAACCAGAGACTGCACAGTGTGGGGGACACTGGGCAGCCACCATCAGCCATCCATGTCTACGCTCATCAGAGGGGTGGACGGACCACCCGAGCTGTCCCTGCCGGCTCAGAGGAGGTGGGTGAAGCACTGAGGAGCTCAAGGTGACTTTGCAGTGCTTGTTTCTGATTCTTGTGAGCCCAGAAGTGAGAAAGGAAACACTAAGTTCAGGCTGGAGCTCCAGAGTTCAAAAGGTGTTATTTTTTTCTGGCTAGCAGTTCTCTTTTCTGTTAGTACCTTACTTGCCTTGAAAGAGGAACCCTGTGTTCAAACACACTGACCTTAAGCCAACAGCATGTTTACATCTGCCCGGAGTGTGCACAGAAAGGGCTCTGGCCCAGGTGTGCTGTCCTAGCAGGAAGTTTCAGCCTGCAGTATAAGAGAACAGCCCTGGAAGTGTTCAAGACCAGGTTGGTTGGAGATTGGAACAACCTGATTAGTGGAAGGTGTCCCTGCCCACGGGAAGGGCTGGCTGTATCCTCCAGCTTGGGGCTGGGAGGAAGAGCTGCTTAACACCAGGAAACCCCAGCTCCTCCTGCCTGCCAGGCTGGACTTGAAATACTTTGAAGTATTTCAAGTATTTCAAGTCTCTCCTCTGACAGGAGAGACCCAAAGCTGCCTCTGTGTTTTTCAGAGACAGATGAGCACTGGGGGCGGGGGTGCCCTGTGGGTGGAGGACGTCAGCACAGCTCTGAGCATGATGGTGCTGGGTTTTTTTCCAGAGGCTCTTACCGGATCCCATCCTGAAGCTGAGAACGATTATTGGCTTTGGAGGCTGCAGCACCAAATGGGTCAGTAGCTGAGATGGTTTGGGGAGTGGATCTGTCATCATGTGACTGGGGTATTGATTTTTAGGAGGTGTGAAATACAGCTGAGTGTGGCATTGCTGGATGTGGAAAAGGATCCCAAAGCAGATGGGGACAAGTGTATGTTCGTGCACGAGTGTTCTGCTCTTATGATGGTGAATTAGAAATTATGGGGCCTTTTAGACAGAATCATAGGATGGAAAAGCCCTCCAAGATCATCAAATCCAACTGTTCCCCCAGCACTGCCAAGGCCACCACTAACCCATGTCCCCAAGTGCCACATCCACACATCTTCTAAGTCCCTCCAGGGATGGTGACCCTACCACTGCCTTGGGCAGCTGTGCCAGGGCTGGACAACCCTTTCAGGGAAGAAATTTCCCAATATCCATTTAAATCTCCTCTGGCACAGCTGGAGGCCATTTGCTCTCACCCTGTCACTTGTTCCCTGGGAGCAGAGCCCAACCCCTACCTGTCTCCGTCCTCCTGTCAGGGAGTTGGAGAGAGTGAGAAGGTCCCCCCTGAACCTCCTTTTCTCCAGCTCCCTCAGCTGCTTCGTATCAGACTTGTGCTCCATTCTCTTCACTAAATTTCATGGCTTCTTTTTAACACATTAAAACTCCTGTGCTTTGTTGGAGGCTCGGAAGGAAGGGCTGTGTTTTGGCTTGTTTCTTTGGGGCACTGGGCCTTGCTTGCGGTCTGTGTTAGGGTAAAAAATGGGTTGTTTTGGTTCAGTCAGTTCAAGGCTCTGCCAACAATGTCATTTTCCTTGGATCTCATGTTCACATAGTAGGGAAAGGATCTTAAAACTCATTCAGTTCCAACCCCCGGCCATGGGCAGGGACACCTTCCACTAGACCAGATATGCTCCAAGCCCCATCCAACCTGGCCTTGAACAATTCTAGGGATGGGAAAGAAACCTCTGCCTAGGAGCTGGGGCACTTGTGGAGCCCTGTGCCTCCTGTCTCGGTGCTGCAGGCGCTGTGGACGCAGAACAACGCCGCGGTGGTGTACCCCTGCCACGCCGTCATCGTCACCCTGCAGCTCCGCACCGGCGAGCAGAGGTTCTTCCTTGGCCACACAGATAAGGTGAGTGTAACCTTCCAAAGCCTGATGGCAGCGCCGTCCTTGCACCCCAGGTGTCCCCCGGTATCCTCTCACGTGGTGTTTCCCACAGGTGTCAGCGCTGGCCTTCAACGGGAGCAGCACCTTGCTGGCCTCGGCGCAGGCCGGGCCCCGGGGCGTGGGGCGCCTCTGGGACTTCCGCACAGGCACCTGCCTGGCTGTGTTCAAAACCCATGTGCACTCCCTCTGGTCCCTCAGGTGGGTTTCAGCTGGGTGCGGGTGTGTGTTCAGGCAGGTGAAGTGTTGCAGTATGGCAGCTTTTCCGTGCTGTTCTCACGTGCAGGGATGAATTAGAGCTGCCTGTGTTTGTCACCTAGACCAGCTGGCAGCTGGCCTGGATATGCTGGCAGCTCCCTCCTGAGCTTATCCCTCGGGTCTTGCTGTCTCCCCATCCCTACAACTTGTCCCCTTTTATCCCCCACTGGGGTACAATCAGGGTGCAAGGAGCTGTGTTTCACAAGGTTCCTCTTCTTGCAGCTTTTCCCGCAGCGGAGCCGTTCTGTGCGGAGTCGGGAGGGACGGGCATGGCAAAACGGTGAGACCTGAAACTTGGGAGGTTTCCCTGAGATGGCTGTTCTCCCAGATTGTGTAGTTATTTTGCAGACAAACCTCTGCTCTGGGCTTTCCTAGACATGTTCTTGAGGGAGATCCCTTTCTCGTTAACTGCCTAGAAAATACTTTCCATCTGTCTGATGCTTGGTGGGTGTTGGCATACACATTCCTCAGCTGCAAGCGAACAAATCCTTTCAGAAGCAGCTGGAGAGACCTGCTGGGGCTGTGCTTTGGAGGCTGTTGTGCTCCTGGTGTGTTCCCAGCCAGGAGCCCAAGCGGGGTGATGTGACTGTGCCCGTACTCTGCAGGGATCACCGCAGGCTCATGTGCCACATTCCCGCTGCTGCAGCCCTTCTGAGGGACGCGTTTGGGTGGCATTCCAAGCTGGAAGCCTTGCGAGCATTGTAATGGGAGGTTCAGCACTGACTGGAGGCCAAAACCCCGTTATTTTAATAGCATTTAGGGCAAGATGTGAGGTTTAATCTTTCAGCACCGAGCATCTCCGCGGGAAGGGATGCCGGGTGCTGGAGCTGCCACCCACCAATGTAGCTGGGGGATGACGCAGATCCCACATGGAGCGGTCAAAAATAAACTTGGTTTGTGGGACTGGGTGTTTGTTTTGTCAGTGGAAGTGTTTTCATCCACTGATCCCTTACTGACAACCACCAGCAATTAGCTGTGCCATTGCTAATTGGAGGAAAAAACACACAGTGCTCCATGTTCTTCTCAGCATGTGGCAGCATTCTCTGATCTGGGTGGGAGCTGGTGAGCTGCAGCTGGGGAGAGGAGATCAATGGGGTGAAAGCAGGGTGGGAGAACAGGGAGCACCTCTCCCACGGTGATGCCTCCGCCCATCTCAGCCTCTGAGGTGATCCTGGGTTTGGTTTTAATGCTGTGCTGGAATGCAGAGCATCCACCTGCATTTCTTCAGCCATTTCCCCCTTTCCTTCGGGGAGAGGGTTTGACTCTTGCCCCTGGCGACAGGCACTGAGGGCACACAGACCTGCATTGGAGCAGAGGCTGGGACAGCCAGAGCAGTGGTCATGTGCTACCTCCCACTCCCTCAGCCGTGATACAGCTCCTGTATCCCAGCAGGCAGAGTTCTCACTCCTCTGTGGGTTTGCTTTCCAAGTCTGAGTCCTGTTGCCAGGCAGCCCTGGGATTTAGACCCTGTAATTATGGATTGTAGACAAGGATATTGCTGTGAAGCTTTGCAAAGCTGTTGAACTGTCCTAAACCCTCTGGGTGAGAGGTTTTATTTCCCCTGCTCCAGCTCTGTTATCAATACTTTGTGCCCAGCTCTGGAGCAGCTGCTGGATGAAAAGCTCTTCCGCTGCCAAGGTTTTGAGCAGCTCTTCCATCGTGTTTTTGTGTTTCAGTTGGTGGTGGTGTGGAACACTGCTCAAGTAACCCGTGGTGGAGGGGTGGCTGTGCTGGCCAAAGCACACACAGATATGGACATCCAGGCCTTGAAGATTGCTTTCTTTGATGAGACCAGGTACATGCAAAGAAAATAAATCAGAAACATTGATTCTTAGATATTGGGGAGGGTGAGGGTGGTGAGGCCCTGGCACAGGTTGGCCAGAGAAGCTCTGGCTGCCCCATCCCTGGAAGTGTCCAAGACCAGGTTGGATGGGGCTTGGAGCAACCTGGTCTAGTGGAAGGCGTCCCTGCCCATGGCAGGGGGTGAAACAAGATGAGCTTTATCGTCCCTTCCAACCCAAACCATTCCATGATTCTGGCGTGGCTGCAGGGGGAACTGCAGTGCTGCAGCCATCTGGTTGCTATTCCTGTTCTTGGTCTGCCAGGTGGCCCTTGGGACACTGAGCTTGGGACACCAGGGGCTCAGGCAGTCCTGCCCTGCTCCTCACACCATGTCTCCCGGGACAGGATGGTGTCGTGTGGCCGGGACAACATCCGGCTGTGGCGAGTGCGGAGCGGGGCCCTGCACTCGTGTCCCGTCAACCTGGGCGAGTACCATTCCCTGGACTTCACTGACCTGGCCTTCGAGGAGGGGCCCGTGGCTGAGCAGGAGCAGGAGGACCGTGCGCTGTAAGGGGCCGTCACCAGCACCATCCTCGGGGAACCTGCTGGGAGGGAGCTCTGTGCCTCTCCCTGCTCAGCATCCTCCTTCCCCTCCTGTGCATGAGCACAGAATTTTGCTTGGGTTCTCCCTGCAAAACACAGGTGCCTCCTGGAGCTGGGAGAGCCTCTCCCCTCCTCAGCACACATCACTTCCCAAAAGAGATTTGGCTGCTTCAGAACAGCCCCAGAAATGGCTCTTTCCTCTCACTATAGTGATGTTTTGCCATATTTAGTGATTTTCTTCTCACCTGAAGCTTTCTGTGGCAGCAGGAGGAACATGGAACACATCTTCTTGCATACAGCCAGACACACACTTTGTTGTTGTTTTATTTTAATCATCAGAGCCATGCCTTTGTTGCCACCACATATGGTCCCATCAAGGCAGAGCTGTCAGCTCAGCCAGCCTGTAGCAGAGGCTCCTTTCTGGAGTCTGTGCCAAGCTTTTTGGCTTTCTTGCTGCTCTCTGTTCCAGAGGGTCAGGAAATCAAATAGGAAGCTCTGACTTGGTTGGAGATGTGTGGTGCAGCACGTGGAACACTTGGACACCTAGCTGACCTGTTATATTACTGTGAACCAGCATTGCTTTCCACAGGTAAGCCAAGCTGGTTTTTCACTGAAACCAGGTGTCTCTCCTGCTTTTTTTACAGCTTTGTCTGCAGCAAGAGCGGCCACGTGCTGGAGGTGGATTACAAGAACATGTCTGTGCGGAGCGCGCGGCGGCTGCTGCCGGCACAGCCCCGGGAACATGGGCAGGAGCAGGCAGGGAGCAGCTCAGGTGGGAGCACCTGCAGGGAGGGAGGGGGGGACCAGCCAGGGGGCACCTCAACCACCACCAGGGTCAGAAATGAGCTCAAACACATCCCTGCTCAAACCAACTAGCTCTTTACCTACTGCCACCGGTTATTTTGGGTTGATTAGATCATCTCTATTTGCCTCTTAAGGACTGCAAATAATCTTCCTTAGTGCAGCAAAGTATCGTTTTAAGAAAGATTTTAGCATTTTAAATGCTGATTACACTTTCAGAGAAACACCACTTTTAGAAACATGAAACAAGGTCTTCATTTGCTGATGGGAGGCTTAACGGAGAGATGGAAAAAGAACGAAGCAGATGAACGAAAAAGATGAATTTGGGGATTTTTTCATTATTCAGCCTTTGCAGAGCATTTGGAGAATCTTTGGTGCTGTACATTAGTCCAGCTTTCAGCTCTTCCATTAACTTCAGTGGCGGGAAGAATTCACTTTCAAGTGGGATTGCTCTGATGTTTTAAAACTTAGTGCATGGTTTGCTATATCAAACTGAGCTAATTAATCAAGAACATGCCCTTTGAGAGGTGTGTAACTGCAGTTCTCGCCTCATGGGCAAGAAAAGGCCCAAGAGGAGATGAAACAATGTCCTTGGTGTCCTCCTGGTAGCAGTGCTGGCTCTGACCAATGGCCTTTATACCTGAATTTAGATTGGATATTGGGGAAAATTCCTCCACTGAAAGTGTAGTCAGGCTTTGAAACAGCCTTCCCATTTCATCCCTGCGAGTGTTCAAAACTGTGGATTTGGCCCTTGGGGACATGGTTGAGTGGTGGCCTTGGCAATTCTGGGTTAATGGTTGGCCTTGAGCTTTTCCAACCTTAACGATTCTATGAATCAAAAAATCCCAGTTTCTGTAGATCTGTATTTGCCTTCAGAGAGGATTTGGGACATGGAAATGGCAGGGCAGTTATCTGAGACATCCCTTGCTACGGGATCCTGTTTGAGGCAAAAATATGGCAGGGTTTAACAAGGGGTGGGAATTTTCTGTGCCTGGCAAGAGTTTCACGATGGCAAAGAAGTTTTTAGCCTTGAGAAGGGCTGCCTGAGACCCTTCAGCCTGTTCTGCCAGTCAGCATGGGATTCCTGGCTCCTCCTGAGACTGCAGCTGCAGGTGTGGGTGGAGCACTGGCCTCATCTCCTGGATGGGGCAACCCTCAGGTTGAGTTTTCTTGTTCCACCTGTATGAGGAGGTGTTGGTTTTTGGGTTTTCAGGCCCTGGGATTGCTATAAACAGTATCAGTATGTCCTTGACCTTCTGTGCCACGGGATCAGAGGATGGCTACGTGCGGCTGTGGCCACTGGACTTCTCAGCCGTTGTCTTGGAGGCAGGTGAGTAGAGCTGGGAGTGGCACTTCTGAGCTCCACAGCTGCTGCAATTCCAGAGCTCCACTGCCACAGCTCCTGCAGCAGTTCTCACGAACAAGGGCATGTTTTATGTGTGCTGTCTCAGGGCTGACTGGCTTGGAAGTCTTCAGTGGCAGTTATTGATGTTCATTCTTGTAACTCATAGGAGAAAGGCCGGTTCTCCTGGGAGAGAGCAGATTTCCATCTTGATTTCTGTGCTCTTGAACTCATGGCTCATCTGTCTGTGAGAAATTATGGGAGAAGTTGAGTAGTTCTTGACTTTTTGAAACAAACAGCATAACAGCAGAGCCAGAGCCCTTCAGATAGGGCAGAGACTAATCTGTCACTGAACTCAACTGCAAGTGTTCAGTCTCCAGGTTGTGGGCTGCTCATTCCTGTGATCGTTGCTTTGCCAAGCAGGAATCTGCCTTTGTAGCTGTATTCCAGCTGCTGCCGCTCCTTTCCCAGGGGATTTGTTGACTCCGGTGTCTTTCCCCAGAGCACGAGGCTCCGGTGAGTTCTGTCTGCATCAGCCCCGACAGCCGCAAAGTCTTGTGCAGCACAGCTGCTGGGAGCCTGGGCTACGTGGACATCCAGTCCCGGGACTACAACACCCTCATGCGCTCGCACAAGGCCGCCGTGCTGGGCTTCTCGGTGGGCGGCGTTCGGAAGCAGATAGCAACAGTGTCTCAGGACAGCACCATCCGAGTGTGGGACCTGGTCTCCATGCAGCAGGTAGGTGAGACAAGAGTCAGGAGGTGTCTCATTTATTGTCTCCCTTGTCTCTGTTTGGTCTAATTATCAAAACCCCACAGTTCAAGAGCCCTTAAGCCCTCCCTGAAGCATGAGGGGGTACCACGGGCAAGAAATCCTTTGAAAGTGGAGTTCTGAGGTATTGTTAAAACAAAATTATTTTCTTTTCCTCCATCTTTTGAATAGTGCTTTTTAGCACAAATCATAATAGCCAATGGCTTTAATCTAAATGCCCAAAGACCCAGGACTTCCCTGGGGTTTATATCCATCCAGGCAGGAACAGCAACATGTTCGTGGTGGAGGTCTGGGGCTGTTTAGTTGTTGGGTCCAGCTGCAGCTCCAGCTTTATCCAGGTGCAAGCCTGTGGTGTCTCTTCCCTGCAGCTGTATGACTTTGCAGCCACAGAGGAAGCACCGTGTGCCGTGGCTTTCCACCCCACCTGGAAGATCCTGGCCTGTGGATTTGACAGTGGGACAGTGCGGACCTTCAGCTTGGCCGCCTCCAATCTCCTGCTGGAGCACAAGTGAGCGTTTGGAGTGGGAACTATGCTGGGTCTAACTGGGTGTCCTGGTGATGGAAGAGAGCCACAGGGATGGTCATGGACCTTGACAACCCTCAGGTCCCAGCTGGGTGGGTTTTGGGTGGAGGCTGTGCCAAGGCTCCGGGTGGTGAAAGCCTGACCTGTGAAGGCCATGCGGGCTTTCTTTGTGACTTCCTGGGGGAGAACAGTAGGAAAGAGCTTGTCCTAGAGGGCAGCTGAGCAGAGAGCCCTTACAAGCCTTGATGCAGAAAGCAGAGGATGCTCCAAAGGGAGAAGGGAGCAGGTTCCATCCAGGCTGGAGCACTGCTCGGTTGTCCAATAAGCTGGAATGTTGGTTGTCCTGGGCTGCTGCGGGTGTGAGCAGGGTGGGGTCCTGCCCTGTCCCTGATTATTTTGTTCTGGGTTCTTCATGTTGCACTCGGTGTCACTACTGTTTCCTCGGTCTCTGATTTTCTCCTCCCTTTATCCGTGTTTTCTGCCTTTCAGGCAGCACTGCACTGCCATCACCGGGCTGACCTTCTCTCCAGATGGCAATTTCATGTTCAGCTCCTGTTTGCAGGGCACTCTGGCTCTGTACAGGTGTGTGGCGCAGAAAAGCCACGTCCGGAGGGTCCTGGGTAAGACTCTGGGATTGGGAGTTGCCTTTCTTCTTTCTTTTATTATCACAGACACCAAAGCCAAACCACACTCAATCTGCTCAGAGAGAGATTTCCCAATGAACCTGAGCTGTGTCATTTCCCCCTGTGCTGGGCAGTGCTGAGCCACCTCCAATACTGGGGGCAATTCTGGTGCTCTTGTGACAAGAAAGACCTTGGGGGGCTGGAGCGTGTCCATGGAAGACAACAGAGCTGGGGAAGGGTCTGGAGCACCAGAAGCAGCTGAGGGAGCTGGGGGGGCTCAGCCTGGAGAAAAGGAGGCTCAGGGACCTTCTGGCTCTGCAACCCCCTGACAGGAGGGGGGAGCTGGGGAGGGAGGTCGGGCTCTGCTCCCAGGGAACAAGGGACAGAACAAGAGAAAACAGCCTCAAGGTGTGCCAGTGGAGGTTTAGATTGGATATTGGGAAATTTCTTCTCTGAAAGGGTGGTCAGACCCTGGCACAGGAGTCCCCATCCCTGGAGGGATTTAAAAACCATGTGGATGTGGCACCTGGGGATGTGGGTTAGTGGTGGTCTTGGCAGTGCTGGGGGAGCAGTTGAACTCTGATCTCAGAGGGCTTTTCCAACCAAGGCCAACCTGTGGTTCTATGATTCTTAATGTTTCTGTGATTTTATGATTCTATGATTTGTGTTTGTACTTTCTGTGTGAGCAAAACCCATCGAAAAAACCACTTCCTGACCTGTCCCAGTTCAAACCCTCTCAGCCTGCTTGGTGTAATCATTTCATGAATGTTCTGGAATCACAGAGATTTATTCATGCCCAAGCCCTGACTCTTTTCATTCTGTGCATGTGCAGTTTAATTTGTTTAAAGTGGGTTTTTGCCCTAACCCTGCCTGCAGCAGAGCTGCTCTGTGCTGGTGGAGAGCTGGAGGCAAGTCAGGGGCCAGGCAGTTTGGAAAAATTAGTGTCACATTTAATATACACTTTGGAAATGAGCTGTGGCAGCACAAGCTTGGGCAGGGAAAGGGAGCTCTGCTTTTTACACAGTGCAATATTTTATAAAGAGAAGGATCCTGCTCCAAGAATTGTGCAGGAGAAGGAACAGGGGCTCAGAGGGATCAGGGAGTTTGTCCAAAATCACCCAAGTTTGTGGTCAGTGCTGCAGCTGGGCCTTCATGTGTTGACTCTTCTCTGAAACTGTGTCACTGCCCGGTCACATTCCTAGGACAGAGAGTGGAATTTTGGTAGTGGAATAAATACAGAGAATTGCTGTGATTTCAGCCATTTTTAGACCTTTGGGTCTGTACCCTCTGGACTGACATCAGTGTGGTGGGGTTCAGCACTGACCTCATTCTGCTCAGGGTTCAGCCAACCAGGCTGCAGCTGAGATCTTGCATTCATAGCTCCGTGGAACATTAAAAAATAAGCTCTAAAATCAATTTTATTCCCTTGACTTTGTTCCACTCTCCTTGAAAACACCACACATTCAGTCAGGCAACAAGTTGTGCATCTAAACCTTGTGTTTTAGGTGTCCACTGCACACTTTGGTTGGCAGATAAGTTTTGTAGCATCTACAACACAGGTTGCTTCTTTCTCAGGCCAGAGCGTTAACCCAAAGCTGGTTCAGAGGGGAAGCTGCAGCTGCTGCCCAGCAGTGGCATCAGAGTGAGGGTGGGCTTTGCTCCTCTCTTCACTCTGCCTCGTGCTGTGTCCCCCAGGAAACGTGGTGGCCCGGGATGCTGGGAGCGGTTGGGATGCCCTGGTGGTCAGTGGGGACAGTCACCTCCTGGCCTTCGTGGGGCCCTCCAAGTATGTGGTGACCGTGATGGAGGCCTGTTCTCTTGATGAGGTACCAGGGGCTCCCCTCCTTCCTGGGGAGGCTGGGGAGGGCAAATTCCATAGGCTGCATCAGGTGAGATGGGTCAGGGCGTTGGGCACCAGCACTGTTGGAGAGGGCCTTCCCTGCAGAGCAGGGAGTTCACAGTGAGGTTTGTTTTCCGTTCTTAGAAATAACAAAGTCAAGGTTTCTTCTCCTCTGGCTTTATTCCCCTCTAGAAAGATAATTTGCAGAGGTGCTGTGTAGACTGTCAGCTCCCACCTCTCTCTGTGAGCTGCTCTCCTGGGCATTGCCTGGACCTGAAGCCCCTCATTAGGTGGGAAGGGTCTGGGGAGTTCTGTGGCCTTGTGTTAGGAGCATGTGAGCAATCCTGAGGCTCCCGCAGTGTTTGTTCATAGCTTCTTGTTTCACAGCTGCTGAGGGTGGACATCAGCATTCTTGACTTGCACAGCACTGTCTTGGACTCTGCAGTGAGGGTCTGCTTTGGTCCTGTGCCTCAAGGCGAGCTCCTGGTATCCACTTCTTCCAATAAAATCCTCGTGCTTGATGCAAAAACAGGACGACTGGTGCGAGAGGTAGGACACTGAAATTCATCCACTGAGCTCTCGTGGGGTTTGGGCATTTCATGTCCCTGTGGGAGATTAAATGAGAGAAAAGCTCATCCTGGAGCTCACAGGCTTCAAAGAAACGTGAGTGGGAAGCTTACAGTTATCCTCCTGTGCTTGGGCTCAGGATGAGCCTCAGCTTGTCCTTGTTTTCCATGCTGTCACACCCCTGTTCTCTTGCTGAAGTGTAAATAAGGGTATGAACTAACTCAGTTAAAGCTGCTGGTGCCTCTTCTTGTCCTCAGGTGTCCCCCATGCACAAGCTGACGTGTTCTTCCTTTGCACTGAGCAGGGATGGCCAGTACCTGCTCACTGCTGGTGACAAGGTTATCAAAGTGTGGGACTACCGGATGCGCTTCGATATCAACTTCCAGGTACCACCCACAGAGGGAGGGAAGGGGTTGGTGTTGCATTTGTGAATCCCTGGAGAAAAGAGCAGCAAAAGGTGTCTGATAATTGCCCAGTGTCTCTAGTCCCAGTTTGCCCAGCAGAGAAATGCAGCCCTGTTCCCACATTGTAATAACACCTGGCACTGGGCACAGGCTGGGGCAGCCAGACCCTCTGCAAAGTACAGGGGTGGGTGATACCTCTGTGTTAGGGGCAGGACCACACAGAGAAGAAAATGGCTCCCCCAGGACTTCAGGGGTAGCATAAGACTTTGTACTCTTCAGCTTTTGCTCCCTTTCCCAGATGAGTGTGTTCAAGGTTGATCAACCGTAGGTGTGAGCACTGTAGGTGTGGTAGATCCTCTGCTGGGTCTTCTGCTGAGGCCTGTAGACACTGGCCATGCAGGGCAGAGAGTGGAGTAACCTCATGCTGACAGGACAGGTGTGGGGATGGGGAAGTTCAGGGTGTGCTTTCTCCAGGTGTACATCGGCCACTCGGAGCCCGTGCACCAGGTCGCCTTCACCCCGGACCAGCAGCACGTTGTCAGTGTTGGAGATGCCATCTTCCTCTGGGACTTCCTGGCTCCAGTTGGAGCAAGGTCACCCCCAACCAGGTAAGTGCAGGTGTTGGGCACTGCCTTCTCTGCTTCCCCCTTTCCCCCAGCCCCGTCCCTGCCTGGGGTAACACCAATCTCCTCACCTTTCCAGGGCTCATTCCCCCGCATCTGCTCGGCTGCCAGGACCAGGTGAGTTGTGCTGGTTGGCAGGTTGGCAGCTCTTCCAGAATGTAGGGCCTGGGGAGTTCGGTTCCTTCCCTCAAGGAGTCAGGTATTGGGGCCAAAGCAGTTAATTAGCCCCAAAGGACAATCTCAAATTAATTAGCACCTCTCAGTCTGCCTAGGTGGGGATGTTCTGAGCAGAGCCACTCTGGATTTTCTGGTAGGTCTTTCAGCTTTTGTCTTCTGTCTTTTCCTGCCTCCATCTCCTCTGTTTTCTTTCTCCCTCAGTGTATCTCTCTCTGTCTGTCCCTCTCTTGAAAGACAGAGAAGTGGCTTCTCCTGTGTAGGAGGAAGCTGGAGAAATGAGCTTGGAGGCATCACCATCAATCCAGGAGGATGAGAGGAGCTGAGGGGTGAAGGAAATTACACAAAGCCTTTTCTTTTCCCAGAAGGCAGCTCTGAGAAGCCAAAGGATGTCTCTGAGACCCTTAGGCAGACAGTGCCTCTTCCACTGCTGTCCTCACCCCCGTGTTTGGATATCAGCTCTGCCCACCAAGCAGGATATCAAGGTAAGAGGAACTGTTTGCAGGAAAGGGGAAAATTAACCCTGTTTTGGGAAAAAATCCTTGCCTAGTTTAGCAGCATTCTTGGAGCCATCCCTGCCCATGATCCCTTCCAGCAGATTGACAGACCAGTCTGCAATTCGTTCCCTTAAGCTGGAAAAAGCCCAGAGGTGCTGGGATTCAGCACCCCTTTATCCTCTGCTCTCTTCCACACACTGAGCTGCTGGCACAGCTTCTCTGAGGGCTGTGGTAAACACCCTGTTGGCCATTCCCAGTAGGAATTGTCTGCTTTGCCCTCCACCCAAACGGCTGGACTGTTCCACAGAGCAGGGGAATGACACGGCCAAAAATCAAAGGGTCAGGCACACATGAAGTGGTCCTGAGGGACAGGAATGGCTCCATCTTCCCACTGATTTTTCTCTTCAGGTATTTTCTCTGAGTTGGACAAAAAGGAGGAAGCAGGTCTGCCAGGCAGCAGCAGGATGGTGGCAAACAGAGACAAAGATCCCTCAATCTTTGTGGTGGAGTCAGACAGGAACAAGGAGCTTGTGAGGCCCAAAGTGAGGCAGGAGAGCCCAAGTTCTCCTGAAAAATCAACAAATGGTAAATCAGGGTTATTCCCAGCTTGTACAGAGCTTATCTCCTTCCTTGTGCACAGGCCTGCATGGCAGCTTGGTCTGTCCCCAGAAAATGAAGGAAGGTCATCATTAATATGGTCGAGACACATGCTCTGAGTTGTGATCTGAAGGGCAGCACATGTTCCTCAGAGCTCTTCCCTTGGGCATGACCTACTGAGGGAAATCAGTATTGAGGGAAGCTCATGCTGGTCCCCAAAACTGCTTGTTTTCCTGGCTCTTTCCCTGCTGCTGCTTCTAGGCACACCAGAAGCCTCTCTTCAGCTTGGAGCCAGTATCATCTCTAAGTGGCATGTTCCATTAAATCCAGCTGCAATTAAAGCTCCCAATGTCTCTATTAATAGCAGCACAGCCTCGGAGCTGCAGCAGAGCGTGGCAACCTGCCAGGAGCAGCTGCTGCCTGTGCTCATTCCCGGCAGGACCTGTTGGAAAAGCTTCAGCATAAAACTGTGCCTCTGATGCTCCCTTGAAGTCCTCTTTGGGGCTGTGGAGCTTGTGGTTCCACAGTGATACCCAGAGCACGTGGCGTGGGTGCCCTCAGGATTTTTGCAGTGTAGGGAAGGGCTGGAGCTGTGTCAGGGCAGGGTCAGGTTGGATCTCAGGAAAAGGTTCTTCCCCCAGAGGGTGGTTGGGCACTGACCAGGCTCCCAGGGCAGTGGGCACAGCACCAAGGCTGCCAGAGCTCCAGGAGGGTTTGGACAATGCTCTGAGGGACAGGGTGGGATTGTTGGGGTGTCTGTGCAGGGCCAGGGGTTGGATTTGATGATCCCTGTGGGTCCCTTCAAACTCAGGATATTTTATGTGTACACTGCAGTCTAATTTTTGCCTTGTGTGTGCACCGTACACAGCACCTGAATGGACAGCAAGCCACAGCCTGGGTGCTGCTCCCAAGCCACTCCCAGGAGCAGCATCCCATAGGTACCTTCTTCTTCTTTGCATGGCAGAAGCCAGGAAGGGAACCAAAACTCCCAAGTCCCAGTGCTCCATCCGCCCGGATTCCTACCGGCACTTCACTCCTCGCTTCAAGGCATCGGTGCTGCCCCAGGTGAGAGCTGTGCCTGGGCTGGTTACCTGGGCATTTAGGGGCTGAGGTTTTCCAGATTATTTCCATTTTGTTCTCTGTTTGAAAGCACTTTGGAAAATATACCCCTGGGCTGATGTTCAGTGAGAAATCCTAACATAATTCCCAGTTCTCCTCTACATGCAGCTCTTTCCAGACTAGTAAAAAGTGAGTTGTGCTCAACTCTTTTTCTGTTCCCTGAATCTGCATACATTTTTATTCAAAAGGAACGGGAATGGCATGTGCTATTGAGAGTGAAAGACGAGTGAGCAATGGAATGATTCATCATGTTTGTGAGCAGCTGCGTTGGCAGAGCAGGCTGGAGAAGGCAAATCCAGAGAGTGTAGTGAGGAGAGACAGCACAGCTCCTGCTCTGTTAACAAACACAGCAGGAATAAAACAGAAACTTAGCTCGGCCTTTCCCTAAGCTGTGCTGTTAGTGCTGGGAGAAGAACTACATCCAGCTTGCCCCCTCAGTTGTCCTCCCACCTGGCAGCATTTTTTCCTCCAGTTCTCTTCCTATTGAAATATCTACACATCCAAGCCAGCAAAACCCAGCTGGGCACTTGCTGCCAGCCTGTTCTGTGCCCCATCTGAAAAAATCTGTGCCTGGCTGTGCTGGGGCAGTATCTTTTTTGTACATAGAATTGTGCCCTTCAGGATTCATCAGTTATGGAATTGTGTGAGGATTGTGCCCTTCAGGATTCATCAGTTATGGAATTGTGTGAGGATTGCTATGAATCTGTGTGGGATGTGTGAGTGAGGATGTGTGTGTGTTTGCACACTCACTTTTTCCTACATGGGTGCTGATGCACCTGCCCAGACCATACTTCTAGAGCTTATTTTAAGCCAGTGTCTGTTTTTCTTGCAGAGTTTCCTGTCTCCTCCAGCAGGCAGCGAGGTCTTGAAGCTGAAAGCAGTGATCGGCTACAATGGAAATGGCAGAGGGAACATGGTGTGGAACCCAGATACAGGTACACTGGGAATGCTCTGGGGGGTGGGATGTGTTACCCAGAGTGGTTGTGGCTATCCCATCCCGAGAAGTGTTCAAGGCCAGGTTGGATGGGGTTTGGAGCAACCTGGTCTAATGGAAGGTGTCCCTGCCCGTGGCAGGGGGTGAGATGAGATGAGCTTTAAGGTCCCTTCCAACCCAAACCATTCTGGGATTCTGTTATCATTCTAGGAGTGTGTACTGAACAGAGTTATGATCTTCTGGCTGTTAGGATCTTTGAACACAGGGGTTCTTTGTGTTGATAAAATCCAGTAACTCTTTGCTGTTGGTGAGCGTTAGTTGGTGGGGCAGACTTGGGCTGCAGTTGTTGAGTGGAGAGAGCTGGAGGAAAGCTCACAGAGCCCGTTCTGCCTCCTTTCTCCAGCGGGAGGGATGCTTTGCTCAGGTTAGGGGAAGTGAGATCTCGTCCCGCTCCCAACCTGACGCTGACAAGCC